GGCCTGCTTTGGGTCCCACACGGCCACAAAGATGTTGTCGAAAAACGGCTGCACTTGCTGGAAGAAGAAGGTGGGGACGCTGATTGCCAGCTCTCGCAGAACCAAGACCTGGAGGGGAGGTAAGAGTGAAATGATACGAGTCAAGAGGAAGGAAACAAGAAATCAGGTGCTTACTAACAGTGCTGGCAGGCTCACTCACAGGGGTCATGCCTTCTGTCTGAAGCTCATACAGAGCAAGGTGGAGATTTGTTCATACTCAACTTCTAACTCACAAGGCCAAACTAGATACAACAGTAAATGCGGCTTTGCATTTAACACACAGGTTTTTTGAGAAACACAAATAGCATCTGCTGGGGGAGGAAGTTTAATAATTATCAAGGTCACAACAGGAGTGGATGGAGAGTTGAATTGTTTCTTCTCCTGCTGTGGTTCTAAGGAGAAACATATCTGAATCTGGTGCTTGCTTGGGGAGGTGGGAATCCGCCATTGAGCACAGCTGAGCATCATCAACAGGTTACAATTCCAAAAGTTATTTGGGGAAAGCAGAGAGCCTTAAGCTGGTATAAACCCAAACACATGTTTCACAGCACAATATGCCCTTAGAGCGGTTAACTTCCTGGACAACCCTGCCTCATGTTATGGTGCAAAGTTTGGTGTTTCCAAACAGCGCTGGTTAAATGTATGGTGGGTAGGGAAGACACTGAGATGAGGAAGGAAAAACAGCGAAGGACATGACCAAAGCTCAGGCATTTGCTCACAGCTCCGGATCTCCCCTTGAAGTACCACTCCTGAAATCCTCAAAAGCCCTGCAAGCTGTTTGCATCCAAAGAATGGACTCTTACCGCCGCGTGCCTCCGTCCTTCATTCCTGTCGGCTCCCAGCCACTCCAGAGCCCGCTTCACTTCAAACTCCACGTATTCCGCTGTGAAGGTGTCACCTGCCATGGCCAGGCGCCCAATGGCCTTGGAGGCCATCTCCATAACAACGGGGTCATTCGAGGGAAGGAGATTCCTTAGGTAATTGGCAAACCTGCCAATGCGGGTGACATTGCCTCCCTCAACGCCAATTAGGCTCGCTGGGGAAAATAAAATAAAAATGCCAGGGGGTGTTTCAAAAGTGCCACAGCTGGGTAAGACATTGGAAGAAAGCGAATATCCCTACAATTCACTAATTTAAATATATCTCTGCTACCTCTTCCTATACCGCAAACCACCCTAGAGAAAGACAACCCACCATTTTTGAAAATCGTAATTCAGAGGCAGGGGACCTTTATCAGCTCAAGGGCCACCCACCTGGGCAGCGTTCTGAGGGGCCACATATTGTGGCCGGATAGGCGAAAGGGGTTGAAGCAATTAATGTAAACATTAGCCTACTGTACAAAGGTGCCTTCTACACACACTCACATGCCACTCCTTATCCTTCTTCCAGACAAACAAGAGGCACTGTCAGAGTTCAAGGGCACATTCCAGCCAGGCAAAAACATTCCAGGGGGATATGAAGTAGGTCTGAGGAGGGACGCTCTGGCCTGGGGAGAGGCCAGAAATCCAGACAGAGAGGCCCAGAGGGCTTCCTTTGGCCCCAGCCCTGAGGTTCTCCATCCCTGGCTTAATTGGTAAGGTATATACAATTATCATCCTGCACAGTAAGAGTGAATTCCAAAAGCAGATTCTTACACAGCAAAACATAAGAGAGGTAACAGCAGGCTTGAGGGAACCCCAGGGTTTGCAGAAGGAAAAAAAAAACCCAAAGGATGGAGGGAACACACACACACCAACAGTCTAATGATAGCTTAGCATGCTGAAGGCTGCTGAACTTCTGTTAGGAAAGTGGAATGGAATGGAGTATCTTGGGAAAGGAAAGGCTGGCTAGAACCCAAACAGGAATATTCGACACTGTCATATACTGAGTCGCAGGTCCCATTTGTCCAGCAGATTCTGCAGGCTTCTGCTGCTTACAGAACTCCACTCTGCAGTTTCCATTCCCAATAAGCAAATAGCCACCTTTTTGCCAATCTTTTTCCTAAACAGGCCCAGCTAAGTGGAGATGAAAAATGGACAATGGGTTCACTCACTCACCCCCTCTCAAGCTAACTGGAGGTTTAGGCACCCTGGCAGGAGAGGAGGCAGCATTTCAGTTATTTACAATATTGTTTGAAGTTGTGTTTTTATGGACCGTAAGCCACTTTGAATGTTGAAAAAAAAAGGCTAATAATAATAATAATAATAATAATGATAATACTGCATGGTATAAGGCAGGAGTGAGGAACATCAGGCCTGAGGGCCAAATTTGCCCCCTGTCAAGTCTCTCTATCTGGCCCTTGAGACTCCATCCAGTTCCCCAGCCCTAGAATAAGGGGAGTCTGTAAGGCAGCAGAACAAGCTGTTACACAGGCTTTTTTTTAAATGTAGGGAATAAAATAAAAATAGCCCTTTTTTAATTGTTCTTTTTGCATTTTGAATGGCTTTCTTGTCAAAACATTGGGTTACATTGGGTTATTTATTAAACAAAAGAACTCTTTATAAATTGTGTGTGTGTGTGAGAGAGAGAGAGAGAGAGGGAGAGAGAGAGAGAGGGAGAGGGAGAGAGAATATGAATATACTATAACCCAATGTGGCAAAAAATAAAGGAACTCTCATCATACCAAAATTTTTGTTAGACAAAATATGCAGGCACTTACCTATGGCCAAAATGCCCCCTTTCCTCTCATTTGCATCTGAACTAGAGACAAGCTCAAAGATATGATGATTCAGCTGGTCATAAAAACGGGTAGATTCCTCTTGGCTCATCTGTGCAGGAGAAATCAAACAAAAATGTTTGAAAAGCAGTTCTTGGCCATGAACAAGTAAAGGCTTTTCCAGTCTCCATAATTGTACGGGGGAACGGGGGAGGCAGAAATAAATAAAAAGTGTTAAGAACATATGACTGATCCAAACTCAAAGAAATCTCTTAGGCTTTCTTATTTGTGCCTTGGTGGAAAGGTGTTAGATGTTGGAGAGGAACCAAAGTTGGGTATTGCAGCATGTGCTTTGCATGCAGGGGGTTCCAGGTCCAATCTCAGGCTCTCCAATTAAAAGGGTTCAGGTATGGACAGAATGGCCTGGTGGAGGACAATTGCCTATGAAATTTGAAAATGTTTTTAAATAGCCTGTGGGTCAAATTATTATTTAAACAGCCCCTGTTTACATGATGTACACATCAAACAAAATCCAAAGAAAGGTATCTGTGCCCAGGAAGATTACAATCTAAGTCTGACAGCAAGGACACGTTTCCATTCCCAGGAAAAACATATATGGAGCTCTGCCCAGCTCTCCTCCCATCTCACTCACCTCACGGAGCTCCATGGTGACATAATGCTGCAAATCTTTGGCAGCTTTTGCCCTGGCCTCTTCGTTCCGGCTCTTGAGGCCACCAGCAAACTGCTGAAGGATAATGACCGTCCCCGACATGGTGGCGGCAAATCAGAGTGAGGAGCATCAAGTCCTCTGGCCCCTTAAGGAGACAGAATGGCAGAAAGAGACCATTACGAACTGGTGAAAAAAGAGAAGGCTGCAGGTCACTTTATCCCAAGCCTCTGTCGTAGAGGTTATGTTTCCAGTTTACTTTGGAGATTCTGCGAAAATGGGACAGCTTCAAAAGAGAGGCATACATCATTCATCTCTATTGTCTTTTCAGCACGTATGGAAGCTTTTCCTTTTTCAACAAGCTGTTGCAATATTTATTTATTTAATTTCTATACCGCTTTATATTTTTAAGAAAAATCTCAAAGCGGTTTACAGCATATTAAATCAATAAAACGTAAATAAAACAGTAGAATTCTTTATCCCACTGTTGGATAATTCACGAGTAGTTCATGCACTGGTTGCTTCAAGACTGGATTACTGCAATGAGCACTATGTGGGGCTTCCCCAACACTTGATCTGGAAACTGCAGTTAGCGCAGAATGCTGCAGGGCGATTGCTGATGGGAGTGAGGCTTTGTCAGCATATAACACCTGTACTCAGAGATCTGCACTGATTACTGATTTGCTACCATTTCAAAAACTGATGCGCAAAGGGCAGTCTGCAATTTCAATGGAGAAAATTGGGGGGGCAACTCAGCGAAAGCCATTAGACTTCCGAGGCTTGTACGAAAACAGAAGCATTTACTTCCGGGTTTTTGGTATTCCAAAACCGAAATGTTCAGCTTCCGAGACACTTGAAAACCAAGGTACCACTGTGTGTGCGTGCGCACGTATCTATCTATCTATCTACATATGTGTGTGTGTCTGTGTGTGTGTGTGTGTATATACATATATATATATATATATATATATATATATATACATATATATATTCTAATTAGCAATGACTAAATAATAATAATGATAATACCAATGACAAGCAATAAAGCCAGTGCCATCCTTGACAGGAAGCCTAATCGAAGAGATGCAACCCTTGCAAGACCAAGTCCGTCATGTTACAGGTCTCTGATCTGATGCAACCCAGCTTAGATTAAGGGGCACAACTAAGTTAGGCTCATTATTTGTTGTTGTTGATTTAAGCCCCGCCTCCAGACTGTCTTACGGATAAAGAACAGCTGAAAACAAAGCTACAATGGGACTACTCTGAGTAGGACTAGCATTGAGTTGGATACCACCTAGAAGAATCTCTCTCTCTCTCTCTCTCTCTCTCTCTCTCTCTCTCTCTGTACAGTGGTACCTCGGGTTACATACGCTTCAGGTTACTGACTCCGCTAACCCAGAAATAGTACCTCCGGTTAAGAACTTTGCTTCAGGATGAGAACAGAAATCGTGCTCCGGCGGCACGGCAGCAGCAGAAGGCCCCATTAGCTAAAGTGGTGCTTCAGGTTAAGAACAGTTTCAGGTTAAGAACGGACCTCCGGAATGAATTAAGTACTTAACCCGAGGTACCACTGTATGTGTGTGTACATATACATGTAAATGCATATATACATACATGTGCATACATACATACACACACACGCTACCTGAGGTACCACTGTATGTGTGTGTACATATACATGCACACACATATATACAAATATACATACATGTGTATACATACACACACACACACACACACGTGTGTGTATATACTGTACACACACACACATATATATACGTATATAAATATGTATATATATGTATATGGATACTACCTCTTAAGAACCTATATATGTGTGTTTACACACACTTACACACACACACACACACACACACACAAAAGCGGTTATGTTAAAACGTATTATTAATAAGGAAAAACGCAATAAACCGTAATTAGGATTCAGAGAAACTGCAGAACGGAACTGAGATGCGGACGGCCCTACCTGGGAGTAAGCTCCACTGGCGAAGTTTACTCACGACTAGACACAAATCCTGAGGTAAAAATTAAAATGCAAACCCCGAGGTAATTCCTCCAACCCCTTTGCCTCCCTCA